AAGCATGGGCTGGAGGAGGAGTGGATTCAGTCCCTCCTGTGCTGTAGTTGAGGAAGCAGGGATTCCTTCCTGCTTCCCCTCTGTGTGCAGCAGTATGAGGCTGCATTTAGCCCCGCCCCCACATCCGTCTTGGCTCCGCCCCCATGGCCAATCTGGCTCCGCCCCCAAATCTCTGTGCAGGTCTCCTGCTGTATTCCCTGCCCCTGCGTGTGAGCTGTGTTGGCTGCCCGGCGCCCCTGCTGCTATGGCCCCCGGTGCAGCCACACAGCTCACTGACTCCCAAGTCTGGCCAGCCCTGGTGGCACCCCCCTACCTGATGGCACCCAGGGCAGACCGCCTCCCCCCACGCCCCCTTAGTACGCCACTGCCCACACACACACACACAAACATACAATGCATCCTTACTCACACACAGACACACCCGAAACACACAATGCATCCCTTACACTCACACAAACACTCATTCTCTTACACACAGAAACAAAATGCATCTCTTACACACTCAATGCACCCCTTACAGACACACACTGCATTCAATTACATACACAGAAACACACCTTGCATCCCTTACACACACACACACCCAGAAACATACAATGCATTCCTTACACACAAACACACACTGCATCCCCTATAAACACACTACATCCCTTACACAAATTGGTATCCCTATACACTACATTCTATAAGAACACACACATTGCATCCTCTACAATAACACATAAAACATCCCCTATACACATACACTCCACTACCTGTGAGAGAACTCACGGGTGGGCCATATAGGTGGATTTATGGGTGGGCATTGTAGGCATACTCACGGTCAAGCCCTGGGGACCCAGACCTTAAGCTGTGTATGGGGCACCAAAAAATGGCGCTGCTTCCTGTTCTACACCAGACCTGTGGAGCCAGACTGAGCCCATCATCAATCCAATATATTATTAGTGGCACTAATCTCTAATTTACCTCACATTAAATGGATACTATAGTCACCAGAAGCACTACAGCTTAATGTAGTGGTTCTGGTGTCTATAGCCTGTGCCTGTAGGCTTTTAATGTAAACACTCTGTCTTTTCATATAAGACACTTTGAGAAGACTGGCGTTGGCCCATATGGCAGAGCATATGGGCAGGGCATTGTGATGTCACATGGTGGGCAGGACATATGGGGGGTGGCAATTTTTTTTGCCTAGGGCGGCAAAAATCCTTGCACCAGCCCTGCTTAAAACGTACTCCATAGCAAGCTATGATATGCTCACCAGGAGTTAATTTCTATATAATTCTATTCACCAAGGTTAAATATTAACTTGACAAAACAAAGTTGAGAGTGGAAATTTCCAGGACCTGTTTTATATATACAAGAAAAAAAATAAAAAATCTAACAGTGAAAGGATTGAATTATCATAGATTTTTACAGGAAGTCCATAGTACTCATCAAGGAAGTGGCTGCTGGGTTGGTATTTGACTCATAATGTAAGTAAAGAATGAAGGATCAAAATATAATTCATAGTCGTCAATAAACCAAATTTGGGTACCAATGTACTTATGTACTGATAGAACATAACAGCTATTTTTGTTAATTTTGCTTTCTGGTTGTTCCAATGTAATTTTTTTTTTTCTATTTTAATGCACCCACACATTTTTCAAAAGGACAGATGAGACTTTATTTTGATATTTGAATAATTTGAATATTTCTACACAACTGTGGCAACTAAATAAATGCAGTTATTTTAGGAGTACCTCATTTATATAGAGCTTCCATAACTTTTTTTGGGAAGCTACAGATTGTGCATTGCAGGGAGTGCAAAATGTTATATTATCTATCTGTATGCGTGATAGCAGTCACAAAATTCTAAAGGATATATTTTAAAAAGGTTAATTCCCAATATTTTGTCCCTCTGGGTACTATCTGACTATTATGTAGTGGTGGGTTTCTGTAAAATGGTTTCAGTAGTACATGGACCTATTTGTTTCTGCCCTCAGAAGTCATGTTGCTTTGGTATGATAGAGTTATTATTGTCCAAACAATATAAGTAATCTATTCTCTTTCACGTGTTATTAGGAGCCGTTTATTCAGTATTTTTCACTAAAACATTAATTTGTGACTTTTTAGTGTACAGGGTGTGTGGATATGGGGAAATACTCCAATATGTGTTTATCGACATCTCCTTTGTACTTCAATGCCCCATGTGCATTGAATACTTTTAGGGAGTTTATAACCAACTTTTCAACTGCTGTACATTGTATTTGGATTTTTAAGTAGCCACCATTTGAAATTAGCACCTATTTTTGTAAAATTATTTCATTTTTTTTTTAAGTAGACACTTTCATGTTATTCTCTAAATGGGGAATTGCACAGAACTGAGAAGGGCACAGGAAATTTTGAGCTAAAACTAAAAATCTAAAATGTATAGTTTTCTTTTCGTATTTCCACTTTATTTTATTTACTCAAATATGTACACAACTTCAGTCTGTGTGTATGCAGGGGCATATTTATATTGATAGTTTTATGTGTGTGTAAATACAGGGCCATATTTGTATGTAATGTGTCAATGTGTTTGAATGTAGGGACATATGTGTGTGTGTGAATGCACGGATGTGTGTGGAGGGTAATGTGCGTAAAGAGGCGTAGATGTGTAGTGGATTAATGTGTGTTTGTGATTGCAGGTTTTTATTTTGTGTATGGTAGGTACGGTCTGAAAAAGTGGTGAATTTGTAGCCCTCACTGTCTATAGCCCATTCCCAACTCCAATAGCTAGTTGCCCATTACTGCCCCATAGCTTGCAGTCCATTCTACTCCCCTATTCCCTATAGGTGGAATAGGGGAGTAGAAAGGACTGCATATTCTCTGCCCTCTGTAGTTAGTAATCCATTCCCCTCCCCCCATAGTTAATAGCCTATGTTCCTCCTCCCCCTCCTCATAGATAGTATCCCAATCCCTCTTCTCATAGAGAGTACCCAAATCCCCCTCCCAATAGATAGTAACCCATCCCTTCCCCCATAGATAGTACCCCAATCCCCCCATAGAGAGTATCCATATCCACTCCCCATAAATAGTACCCCAATCCCCCCATAGAGAGTATCCATATCCCTCTCCCAATAAATAGTACCCCACTCCTCCCCATAGACAGTACCCATACCCCCTCACCATAAATAGTACTCCAATCCCCCCATAGACAGTACCCATATCCCCCTCCCCATAAATAGTACCCCAATCCCCCCAATACAGTACCCATAACCCCCTCCCCATTAATAGTACCCCAATCCCCTCCATAGAAAGTGCCCATATCACCCTCCCCATAAATAGTACCCAATCCCCCAATACAGTACCCATATCCCCC